CAGGCTCCAGGCTCTGAGCTGTCAGCACAGAGCCCGACACGGGGTTTGAAGCCACGAACCGTGAGATTATGACCTGAGCCGTTCAGACACTCAACTGACTGAGCCACCCAGGCGCCCCTCGTCCTGATTTTTAATGTAGAAATTCAGATCCATGATATTTTAAGATTTTTTACCAAGAAGTTTCTTGCTAAATATGGATTTAACTAGGGGCATCTGGGTGGCTCAGTCATTTAAGCATCACACTCTTGGTTTCAGCTCAGGTTGTGATCTTCATGGCTTGTGGGTTCAAGTCCCGCGTCAGGCTCTCTGCTGTCAATGTGGAGCCTGCTTTGGATCCTCTGTCTGCCTTGCTCTCTCTCTCTCTCTCAGAAATAAATAAACATTTTTTAAAAAAGAGAAACATTTTAAGAAAGAAATAAAAATAAATAAATATAGACTTAACTAAATGGAGATCTTCATTCATTGACTGGGGTGCTCACCATGGCCCAGGCTCCAGCCTAAACTACAAAGGTATATCAGTGTAGCAGAGGAAACAGGCAGATAAAAAGCAACTACACCAGTGATATAATAGATGCAGCTCAGTAGGTCGGAAGCAAAAAGGAGGAAGAGCAGAATGTGTGTCTATATGGTATATAACCTTTCATCAAGTGTGACCATGAAATGGGAGTAGTGGGTTGTAAAATGAGGGGGAGACATTTGGAGTTTTTCCTTCCAAAATAATGTCACCACTTGCAAGTAATCTAAGAAATGGAGCAGCACAAATACATAGACGGTACTTTTTAATGATTATGAAAGAGATAGAAAATGTGGAGTACCTTGGCGAAGATAGAAACATCTTACCATAGCTTTTAGAGTAATGAATTCTGACAGTGAAATAATTGCAATAAATGTTTCATACAATACTGGGATAATTTGATATAAAGAAGCTATGCATTCTGCACAAGAAATAAAGAAATCATCCTTATAAAGGAGCTATCCAGTTACAATTGGTGGGTGACTTCAATGGATTTTATGATAAGGCAGAATCTAAGTAGAGGAATCCCAACTGGGCTGATAGGCAGAAGACAGACCCTGTTGCCTCTTTACCAGAATAATAACAAAGCCTTTTTGATTCTCTCAGTTTGGTACTGAATGAATGGATGGTGCCACAGGATGTTTTTAAGGAATCATTTACTAAACCTGGAGTTGAACTCCTTTATAAACTCAACTGTAGTTTTGTGTTACTGGGTTTTAAAAATTAAGCAACTTGTTTGTTTGTTTGTTTTTGGTGGCGGTTGAGAAGGGTTTTTCTGGATGTTCTTCCTAAAAAAATACTGTAGATTCTAACCTGAAGAGGTCTTTCCCAATATTTGATGAAGAATCATTAATGGGCAAAGAATTTTGGTAGGTTTTCAGGAGCTGGTGCCACGAAGCAGATTCACAGTTGCCAGAAAATCAGGCCAAGGCATACTTTCCAAGGTGTGTTTTTCACACCTAAGGTCTGCGAGGGTCCTGCCCGTTGTTTGCAAACCCTTCAAGCAGCATCTGAAACTGTTGCTTTGCTAAGTCCGTTAAAAATTTATTTGCACTTGGGGTTTTTTGGTTCTGCTACTGCCCACCATCGCCCTCTCCCCTCTGGCTTTTGCCGGTAGAGACCTGCCCTGGGGGGTATTTTGTCCTGGGAGCACAAAACTATTTTCTTTTCTGGAAATAAGTTGACGTCAACTGGGAGCTGTTTTTGGTTGCTTTGTTTCCCGGAGCGTCCAACCCAGCACACCGCCTCCGGCAAACTGCGAGCAATTCAAAGCAGCTCGCCCAACAGGGAGGGGAGCTGGCGGAGGTGGGGGGTGGGGGGGTGAAGGGGAGCTCGACTGCAAAAGTGCTCTGCACCGGGTCTGGAACGTGGGCCAGGGTCCCCAGCTCAGCCCCTCGGCGCACTGCGCTCGCCGTGAGGGCCACGGGAGAGCAGCCCCTGGTAGGTAACTTGCTGGGCGCCCACCTGAGGTTTCAACACTGCTGAAATTCCCTAACCGATTGTTCGGGCGGCCGGAAAACTGGGAGCATCCCGGGACAAAGGGCCAGCCGTCCGGAAGTAGCGCAGTGCGACTGGTGTGTGCGCGGGTCGCGCGTGCAACTAACTTAGCTGCCTAGTGCCCTGAGCTCTGGGAAACAAACAAACGCCTTCCTACACATTTCCGGGGACGTTGAGCATTTTTGACAAAGCCGGCAGCACCTCGGGGATGATTCCCGAAGAGTGCAACCACCGAACTCCTCACCTCCCCCGACGGTTCTCTGCGGACAACAGGACGCATGAGAGCGTGTGTCGTGTGTCTGTTTGCCCGAGGAACGGGAGGGGGCCCGGGAGGCACGGACTAGCCCCAGCTTGTTCACACCTGACGCAATTTCCCCAAAGCTCTGCCGCGTACAGGGTCGAGGAAACACGCGGAGGGCGAACACAGATTGCTGGAGAAGAGAGTCAATTCCCACTTAGACGCCCACGCGGCCCAGAGACCTAGTGCCCCTCCCTTCTTTTTTTTTTAAATTACAAGTTGACGGATGGGTTTCTATTGATGCGTAAAGTTATAAGCTGCCCAGAAAGCAAGACGGGGGAGTCCGGGAGGGGGGAACCGGCAATTGACAAGTCTACAGCCCTAGTGCCTAGAATTCGGTCTCGAGGGCAAATTCGAGGACGCCTTGGAGGGGACAGAGAGGCTGCCTCACAGCAGGGTCTGCGCGCCCTGGGGTCGCGCTGCTGGGACTCGTCTCCGTTGGTTCCCCTTAGCCCCCGGGACTTGGAGCTGGCGGAGCGCCAGGGGACACTTGGGCTGCCCGAGGAGGAGAAAATTAGGATGCCGTGCGAGCTCGACATGGAAGGGGTTGTGCCGCCAAAGAAAACAACCGAGGTCTCCCGCAGCTCTGGGGGCGCTGCCCCTGGGCCGGGAGAGAGGGAGGCGGGGACGCTAGGACGCGCCCGGAGTCTGGGCGCGCCGGGGGCGGGCGTTCGGCTGGAAGTGGGACAGTGTCTCCTATGGGAAAGCGGGACCCGGCGAGCTCTTTGGCCGCCTTTCCAGTTTCGGAGGTATCCGCCCCCGTGCGCCGGAGGCAGCGCAGCCCGGAGGGCGAAAGAATGGCGGTTGGCAAACTTGGAACAAGAGCGCGCTCGGGATCCAAATTGCCGGAATTGTGGCGGCGGCGGGGGCGGCCGAGACCCAAGTTCACTTTTTCCGCCCGCCCGCCGACGGGCCTTAGGGATCGGCATTGCTCTAGCTCCAACCAGGTGGAGCGCCTCGCCAGAGGGAGTTGTGTCAGTGTGCTCCGAGGCCCGGAGGGCGGCGGCCTAAGCGTGCGGGGAGGGGTCCCTGGGGTCCGGAGCGCCTCTCCCCGAGTCTCCCCTCCTACCCGCCCCTCCCAGTCTTTCTTTCTTGCTCCTTCCCCAGGCTGGCGGGACCGGCGCAGACTTGCCCTAGACCTACGGGGAGCGCCCCGGGTCTTTAATGACAGCTTAAAAGAGGCCGTTGGAAAAGTCGAAAGGGATGAGGCTGACGTGGGGCGTGTTTCGCTCCTTTGCAAGAGTCGGAAAGGGAGCTGGGAGCCGTGCGGCTGGCCCCAGGCCCCCGCGCCTCGCCGCCAGCAAGTAGGTGGGGGAGCCGCCGCCGCCAGCCCCATCCCGCTCCCAAGCCTCGCCCGCTGCGCCCTGGCCGCCGGCGCAGAGAGGGTGCGGGGCCTCGCCGTGCCTCCTCCACCCTGCTCATTAACCTGCCTGCTCCGCTCCGGGCGGCCCCAGACCCGGCTTCTCCGAGCAGCACCCGCGGCCAGCCCGGCTCTGCCGCCTCCCCGAACCCCCGGCTCCGGGGGGCAATGAGGGGGCAGTGGAAGGGGCACTGCTCCTCGGGCATTACTTAGAGAAGCGAGACCGCCCCGCCCTCCCGCCGGCCCTCCCTCTCTCCCGCCCGGGCCCGCGCGCCACTCCGCCAGAGGGTAAGTTGGGAGTGTTTCACCCCCACCGACAGCTCTC